TCTTGGTGGTTGTTGTTTCCTTGGTGGTTGTTTCCTAGGTGGTTGTTGTTTCCTTGGTTGTTGTTGTTTCATTGATTGTTGTCGTCTCCTTGGTTGTTGTCGTCTACTTGGTGGTTGTTGTTTCCTTGGTGGTTGTTGTTTCCTTGGTGGTTGTTGTTTCCTTGGTGGTTGTTGTTTCCTTGGTGGTTGTTGTTTCCTTGATGGTTGTTGTTTTCCTTGGTGGTTGTTGTTTCCTTGGTGGTTGTTGTTTTCCTAGGTGGTTGTAGTTTCCTTGGTTGTTGTTGTTTCCTTGGTGGTTGTAGTTTCCTTGGTGGTTGTTGTTTCCTTTGTGGTTGTTGTTTTCCTAGGTGGTTGTTGTTTCCTTGGTTGTTGTTGTTTCCTTGGTTGTTGTTGTTTCCTTGGTGGTTGTTGTTTCCTTGGTGGTTGTTGTTTTCTTGGTTGTTGTCGTCTCCTTGGTGGTTGTTGTTTTCTTGGTGGTTGTTGTTTACTTGGTTGTTGTTGTTTCCTTGGTGGTTGTTGTTTCCTTGGTTGTTGTTGTTTCCTTGGTGGTTGTTGTTTCCTTGGTGGTTGTTGTTTCCTTGGTTGTTGTTGTTGTCTTGGTTGTTGTTGTTTTCCTTGGTGGTTGTTGTTTCCTTGGTTGTTGTTGTTTTCCTTGGTAGTTGTTGTTGCTGTGTTAGGTTGTTGTCATAAGTGGTGGTTGTTTTAGGTGGTTGTTGATTTAGGTTGTTGCTGTTTTAGGTTGTTGTCTTAGGTTGTTGTCTTAGGTTATGGTCTTAAGTGGTTGTTGATTTAGGTTGTTGTTGTTTTAGGTGGTTGTTGTTTTAGGTTGTTGTCGCAGGTTATCTTATTTTGCTTGATAAATAGCTTGACAGTTGGACAATGACAGTAAATATCTGTTAATTTATAACCTTTATAATTCCTTGTAGTTTAATGTTACAATATGTGTCAATTAACACAGAATATTTTGAAATATTTTAAACAATGTCGTAAAGAAGAGTTGAGAATAAAGATTAATTGTGAAAGATTGTGAAATCCTGACTGTTTTTTTTACAAATTTATTACCCATTAAAGTTGATAAAACAAGGATTGGCTTGGTGTTATAGTTTATAAGATTTTAAAGATATTAATAATTGTTTCCCTTTCATTTGGTTATACATGTATAGCCTCTTATTAATATGGTTTAACAAAGAGTGTTTTGTATTTACTTTTATTCTATCACATGACACAATGTTGTCTGAAAATCCTACAGCATGAAACTCTGAGTAACAACATGTTTCAGGGTCTGTTTTGATATTTCTATATCATTCTACAGTTGATTTAACAGTGGTATTTCTATATAGCTCTACAATTGATGTATTGAGCACTATTTTAACAGTTGTATTTCTATATCGCTCTACAATTGAAGTACTGAGAACTATTTTAACAGACAATCCAACTACCAACTAGTATGACTACCAACAACTACCTAGTCTGTGATATCAGCATCCGCTGGAAGCGAACGTTAATTTGTCATCTACCTACCTATTTTAACAGTAGTATTTCTATATCACTCTACAATTGATATATTGAGCACTATTTTAACAGTGGTATTTCTGTATCGCTCTACAATTGATGTATTGAGCGCTATTTTAACAGAGGTATTTCTATATCACTCTACAATTGATGTATTGAGTACTATATTAACAGTGGTATTTCTATATCACTCTACAATTGATGTATTGAGTACTATTTTAACAGTGGTATTTCTATATCACTCTACAATTGATGTATTGAGTACTATTTTAACAGTAGTATTTCTATATCACTCTACAATTGATGTATTGAGTACTATTTTAACAGTGAAAATATTTGTTAGGAATTTTTTTGTTTTGTTTTATACTTGTTGATAATATAACAATTTTATCAATAAAATAAAAATAGTCATGAATGGTAATTTGATTTACTGAAGAAAATATGAAAACCAAGTAGACTAGTGTGTTGAAATATAAATGTATGACAATAATTGGTATAAAATATTAACCACATGGTGTAGAGAGAGAGAGAAAGAGAGAGAGAGAGAGAGAGAGAGGGAGAGAGAGAGAGAGAGAGAGAGAGAGATCAAATTCTACTTTAATAATGTTTATATTATCAGTTTAAAGTAAGGTTCTTATATTTAGATATTTAGTTTCTTCAGTTTATCTTCTGTCATTATCATTATCAGAGCTATGTGAACTCTTTAAAAGGAGTGCTGAGTTGACAAACCCATTTCCATTGTGGTGTCAGGTGTTCTGAAAGGGTGACCATGTTTTGCCAAATGTATGTTTTTTATTATTGACGAAGGGTCATGTATATTTAGTGGTTATTAGTCTATCAAATAGTAATTAGAATAAAGCTGAAAGTTGTACAAGATGGATTTTTTCTTGTGGTTTTATTGCTATGTTTAGTATTTTTATCAGAAAATTAGTGTTAAGAATAAAGCAAATACAGGTCAGATACAAAAACTATAAAAACACTACAATTGCAGTTATTATGTCTATGAGGAAGGGTCTTTAGTTATAGGTGTTATAGAAGATACTCTCCTATAGAAGCACTGGCCTAGGTCACAAGTAGAGAATATGGATTTCAACATAAAAACTATTTCAATTCAAATAGAATATGTTTTACTGAAGATTATTCATAGTTTGTTAGTGTTAGTTATATTTAGTATCAGATAGTGTAAGAAATAAAATTGAAAGTAGTACAAGAGGGACTAATTGTGTGAATATTGAAAGTGATAAAATAAGAGATATTTTATATAATGGTCAGAGAAAGAGGTAAATAATCTAATATCATATTAATAATGATAACTCTCCCTGATATATCACTTGATCATACACACTAGAAATAGGTCTAGAACATGAGGAACTTTATGATCTGATTGATTGAACTTTGTTTATCTCTGAAATAAATGTGGTCTGTGTCACTAGTTAGGCAGGGCATGCTCCTCCTTCTGAAAGTATAAACACATTTTAAGAGATACCATACCTTTATTTTTTGGTATTTAGGCGTACAACTATCAAAGGTTCAATTTTGGTCTTAAAAATAAAGAAAAGCAGTTAGTCCCTGATATCAATTTGGTTAATTCAAACTAACAGGTCCTAGGGGATGGAGAAGTGACAGAAAAATTGTAGAATAAACTAAACTATATGAAATATAAATTAAATGGATTTTTAACTAATCTGATTGTTATAACGAAGATCTTGTTGTTTCGTTTCAAGATTTGTTGATTGATTGATTGATGCAGTTTAAATCTTATGATAAACAGAGCATTTGATTGGTTGGTTGATTATTGTCCTACAGGGGATGCATAATATTATCACCAGATCATGGTGAAGTAGAGTGACCCAGAAAAGACAAGAGTTGAAAAATTGTAAAAAATGTTGTAAAATATATTGTACATGATAATCACCTGAGTGCTAGAGATAATGTTATAATTGACAACACTTGATGGTTTATAACTAGTCATTAGTTAGCCTGGGGCAGTCAACACCCCACTCACTCACAAACACACAAAGACATTACAACTTACACTGGCCAACACTACATCTAGCATACAGAGACAGTTGTTCGATTTTGGGGGTTGATTTTAGTCTTGAATATATGTAGATAGTCTTCAGAAGTACTAGAAATATCTGAAAATCTCGAACTAGGAATTTCACTTTCTATTAATATGGATGTCTTTTCTGTTTATTATGGTAAAGCTTTTTAACAAATTGAGATAGGTTTGTCATATCAATTTACAAATAATTTTTAAAACCTCTTTACTTTCTAGGACACCAGTCCTTTTTGAAGTCTGTTAAAAATAGTTTTCGTATTTTTGTTGACTGAACAAATGAATAGACGTCGTTGTAAGGTTTTGAATCTTGACTTGGGTGACAAAATGTTTTATGAAAACTGTTTTTTTTGAAAACATGTACAGGTCTAGCAAACATATCTCGAAATATTTTAATCATTTTGTAGATAATCAGATAGGGGTAGCAAATATTTAGCAGATATTTGAAAAAAAAGTTAAGTAACAAAACAGGTGAAGTTAAAAACTTTATTAAATAAAGTAAATTAAAAATGCCCTAAACATTGCTATAAAAGAAAACTTGAAATGTTTTTTTTATAGAAGGAAAATCCTTCAATTATTATATTTTTATAGACCCACATGGTCATATTGTTAAAGAGGAAGACCATATGTTGTTTTCATCTCTTTTGTTTACATTTCCTTGTGAACACTCTAGAGGCTATATTTTTCATATTGATGGAACATACTTCCCTGAGATGGCCACATCTAATATGCATTTTGGCTGTTGCAGTAGACCGATTTATTATCTAGCGTGTTGTTTGCTTTATTAAAGGGACAGGTACTCCATTTTATTTGACCAATGACCCTTTAGTCTAAGAACGTGAATTTTGTAGCTAAGCCAACCAGTAATAGTGTTCACAGCTCGCCTTCCACGACTCGTCAATTTATGATACTCTGTGATATATAGAAAAGACGTAAATAGAAATAGTGAGTAAAATTACTAGTTTGAGATATTTCTAAAGGAATTATGTGATTCGTACATTTCTAGTACTACTGGGGACTATTTACATATATTCAAGATTAAAATCAAACCCCCAAAATAGCGAACCTGTCCCTTTAGGTCGTGAATAAATGAGGTTCAGTGACCAGTATGATGTTAGGTCTGAGATTATAGATACAGTTGTAAAAGTGAACAATGAACATGTGGGGATAGAATGTGGGTGGACCTGATTGGCTTCTTATATTTTCAACTATATCCTTACTCTGGCACCTTACATCGAACTAGACACCATATTTCATCTTTTCCCATCATTATACACCTTGTTCTGATCAGATTAAAAGTACATATATACCATAGAACATGAACAGTAAAACAAACTTAATTTTATTCTGTAAGCTTACTCCATAAAACAAACAGTTTATTCCTTCAATGATGTTTTTATAAACTGATAAACTAATGACAGTGTTTTTATAAACTGATAAACTAATGACAGTGTTTTTATAAACTGATAAACTAATGACAGTGTTTTTATAAACTGATAAACTAATGACAGTGTTTTTATAAACTGATAAACTAATGACAGTGTTTTTATAAACTGATAAACTAATGACAGTGTTTTTATAAACTGATAAACTAATGACAGTGTTTTTATAAACTGATAAACTAATGACAGTGTTTTTATAAACTGATAAACTAATGACAGTGTTTTTATAAACTGATAAACTAATGACAGTGTTTTTATAAACTGATAAACTAATGACAGTGTTTTTATAAACTGATAAACTAATGACAGTGTTTTTATAAACTGATAAACTAATGACAGTGTTTTTATATACTGATAAACTAATGACAGTGTTTTTATAAACTGATAAACTAATGACAGTGTTTTTATAAACTGATAAACTAATGACAGTGTTTTTATAAACTGATAAACTAATGACAGTGTTTTTATAAACTGATAAACTAATGACAGTGTTTTTATAAACTGATAAACTAATGACAGTGTTTTTATAAACTGATAAACTAATGACAGTGTTTTTATAAACTGATAAACTAATGACAGTGTTTTTATATACTGATAAACTAATGACAGTGTTTTTATAAACTGATAAACTAATGACAGTGTTTTTATAAACTGATAAACTGATGACAGTGTTTTTATAAACTGATAAACTGATGACAGTGTTTTTATAAACTGATAAACTAATGACAGTGTTTTTATAAACTGATAAACTAATGACAGTGTTTTTATAAACTGATAAACTGATGACAGTGTTTTTATAAACTGATAAACTAATGACAGTGTTTTTATAAACTGATAAACTAATGACAGTGTTTTTATAAACTGATAAACTAATGACAGTGTTTTTATAAACTGATAAACTAATGACAGTGTTTTTATATTGATTGGTGTAACAAGTAGATATTTAAAGATCTGTCGTTCACCATCCGTTTGACCAATCATACTTTAGTCTCAGAAACAGGAATATTTTAGTGTTCACAGCTCACCATCAAAATTTGAGCCTTCAAATCCATGTGTCCAGAATTATCTGTGTTTGAAAGTTAAAATGACGACTCATCTTTTCTTGAGACTCTATAATTTGTACAAATTATAGAAAGTGAAATTGTTTTGAGATATATTTGAAGGAATTATGCAATTTTTGTACATTTGTAGTACTTATTATGACTATTTACCCAAATCAACTCCCAAATATAAGGAACATGTCTCTATAAGGATCTGTATCGTTGTAGAATTTGATACAATATTGCTTGGACTGATAACTGTATTTTGCGTGTGTAATACACAGTTTTTTACCATTAAAAGGGCTTGCAAAACTGGGTAAACATGTATCAAGTATTAAAAATAAAAGACATATATCTATGTAAATTTTGCGGGTCAAATTTCTGAATAAAGCAATGCTTCCACAAAATACCAAATTGAGGACATGAAAATATTTTCCCATCTTTGTTAAATAATTATAATATTTAATATTGATAGTAAAACATTTAGTTATTTGACTATAGTAATATTTGTAACCAGTGGCAGAGTCAGATTTACCTTCGAGGGGGGGCGATATACCCAAGGTTGCCGGAATTTCTAACCAAGTTATGATAATTTTGCCTGAAAAACATGTCTTTGGGGCTGCGAGGAGTAGACGGGATACTCCTCTGCCCCCCTTTGGCAGATAAAACCTTTTATTAATTTAGTTTTAGGAATGAAAAGATTCTGAATGGGAAATGACTTCCAAAGAATCTTAAAATGTTTAAATCTCCCCCTATACCTCACATGAGAGTCTGTGGCCCTCTTTACATTCACCTGATATTTTCCATTTCCTTTATTATTTTCGTTCCTCACTGGGATCCCTGGTGTTTGAAACCCCTCTGCCCTGCCTTTGGCTACACAACTGTTTGTAACATTGATTTGATATATTTTTATCTTTATATTATAGATAATGGTAAGAGATAACCAGTCTGATACGAGATGATAATACATCAAATATTGAATGATACATACAATACAAAATATCAATTCATATCATGGACAGGATAATATGTAAATACGAAACAAAACCTGAAAATACGAAATAATTAAAAATTCATTCCTGATGCATTGTGATAAATTTGTTACCATGGATACGGTGTTGAAAGAGAATATTCGGAACAGTCCGGTTAAAAAACGGAATAAAGAACATCGGAAGCGAGAAAGAGATAAAGACATTACTCGCCCCACGATTACAGCCAGTGATATTCATACGGAGAAAGATGAGTTAGTTTTACCGACTCCGAGTGGACGACGAGGGACGAAGGGGCGGGGTTCCGGGTATATCACGATGAAAGATGAACAGATTACCTCCTATACCAACGATGATGGTGTCACATACCGGATTAACGGTGAGTAATTCTGATAGACTTTATTTATATTTTTCTCAGAATTTCACTGGTGGCTCTCTGATAATTTCAACCCGGTTTCCCACTGTCTTTACTTATATGATTAGAAAGTAGAGATGTTCTTATGACTTGGAAAAATACCAGTTTGTTTCACAAGTCCATAATTAATTCATAATTAGCTTAATTAGAACAGAATTACCAGCAAAATTCTAATGAGTGGTCGATCAAGAAAGGTCAAAAAGTCTTTCTTTGTTTATCCAGACTGACCATATTTGCACATATATGATTGGTTAAAACTCTTAATTATATGCAATAAGGACGTATTGATATGATTATGAATACGTGATAATTCATTAGAAACACTAATTAATCAAATAGTTTGCTTAATTTGACATTAAAAATAAGGTGACCCATCTTTAATTATATGCAATAATAACATGATAATTCATTAGAAACACCAATTAATCAAATAGTTTGCTTAATTTGACATTGATAAATAAGGGTAACCCATCTTGAAGTCTTTTAAGTTATATTTGTATTACATTGTTATAACACCTTTCTAACTACCCTGATAGATTATATATTTATTTATACCAGTAAAAGGTTTATTTACCTATATATCTATATATATTACTAGCGAGTAAACTGGTATATAATAAATAAACAGATTGACAATGATATAACTTGATTGATTTATAGTAACCTGTAAACTGACTCCATAACATTTACACTTTAATAGCTAGCTTAACACTTAACTCAGGAAAATCATTAATCATATCTCACATAGATGATATCATTTTGCATTAGAATTTCTTAGTGCAGCATTCCTTTTATCTTCATATAGACCACACCCTTTTATATCCAAGTTAGACGGTACTAAGATCTTATGGTGACTAAAAATGTACAAGGTTGCCGGCAAAAAAAAAACGCGAAGAAAACTTCTGTTAAAATTACAAATTCTGTGACAAATATGATCATATTGCATTCCCAAGACGCGTTTCTAGTAAAATCAGTGCTCTTTGATTATGACTGGTATTGTATCTATGGAGATGTTACCACACTTGTAGCTAAGTTTCTGTCGCAAATAAAGCTCAGTAAGAATGCCTTTCCGGTGTGATGGAGTTCTTATCAATAGTGGTACGGGATCATTATTCACCTTATCTAAATAGCTGCATATATATAAGCAGCCAAATCCTAACAAGAACCATCCATGCACGCTGTCTTTTTCAGATTTACCTTGTTCTGTTGTTCTCTGTCATTCATTCATTCATTCATTAATTCATTTGTTCATTCATTCATTCATTCATTGTTTCCATGTATTGGACATTCTTTTTGAATCTATTTCATTCATTCATTCATTCATTCATTCATTCATTCATTTGTTCTTTGTTTCCATGTATTGGTCATTCTTTTTGAATCTATTTTATTCATCCATTCATTCATTCTTTGTTTCCATCTATTGAATTGGGAATTTTTTTGACCTTATTTAATTAAAATGCATTCATTCATTCATTGATTCTCTCTATTTTTTCCCAATAGTTGGAGAGTCTTATCTGTAATTTTTTTTTAAAAATGTCTGATTCCAAGTATTTAAAAAAAAATACTGGTATATGGTCTTGATTTTAAGTCTGGATAATATTTCTATATTTCAGATTGTGTGTACATAGAAAATAAAAGACCTGAAAATCCTTACTTCATTTGTGGTATTAAACATTTCCGATTGGTGAGTATTGTTGTTCAACTTTTCTTTCTGAAGAGAAGGATAGTTCTCATAGCAACATGAAAAAACGATAGTCCATGAGGTATTGTGAAACGGGAGAAGGCACTGTATGGCCTAGGGCGGCAACGGCTGCAGCGATTCTTGAAGTTGAGATTCGATTCTGTTTATTGCGATAATAATCACAATTCATTTATAAGATCAGGAATAGTTGCAGCCCTAGTGTGACTGGTGAAAAAGTTAAAAACAGTCTTTTTGCCCAAAATATGCCCACACAAGTTCATTTTTACAGTCAATTATTCGAACACCAACCTTACTGAATAAAAACTGTTTTTTGTTTACAGACAAAGCGAGATACTCTAGTCACAGATATTAAATGGTATTTTAGATTCTCCGAGGTTCCTTTCAGTGTTTATACTTTACTAGTCCAGGATCGAACTACCGAAAACAGTGAGTTATCTTTCCTTACTTACAATAACAGAATAATACAGAATCTTAGTTATTTCCCTTGTATTAATAAGTTTTTTTACTAAAATAACTTATATTGATACTAAAATGTTATAATATCTAGTAGACACAAAGTGTACAATGTTTCAGAGCCTTGAGTTATTGCCCTTGTGTCATTGAAACATATCACTATAGACAGTTTTTCACCGAACATGACCACTGCTTTCATTGAGACTCGTCTCAATACACCCTAACACTGAACAGAAGAGTTATTGCCCTTGTGTTAATAAAACTATTGAGTATTTGGTGTGTTATTTTTGCATGAAATAGGCACAAAGTTTACCATATTTCAACACACAGAATCTGAGTTATTGCCCTTGTCTTTACAACTATTGTGATATTGTATGTTATTGTAACATGATATAGAAGACTGTGTTTATCATTGATTTTTCCTCTCTTAGCTACTGACTATCTCACTGTCTCTATTCATTGTTATCAAAGCAGCTATTTCTTCTCATTTTCTACTTGAATTATTATCTTCATTAGGGGTTATTAGGTTAAAGGAACACTATCCGGATATCTGTATTGACATGGATATTGATAAACCCTCACAGTGGTTCATGAAAGATTCATTTTCTTTCATTTGTTTCTGGAATAACTTCACAATATCAAGCTATTACAAACTGTGTCTAATACTTTGACTGCAAGAGCCACCTTTCTTGTATCACTGAAATTTGCACATTCAGCTATTTGATTGGATTGTACGTTTGCAGCCAATCATAGCATGTGATTACAGACGCTGCTTTGCTTACAGTCTTTCTGTCAAGGTCTCTGATTGGTTGTATGTGCTAGTGTACAATCCAATAAAACCACTGCATTTAAATCGAATTGTCATTGATACAAGAAAGGTGACTATTAGACAAAGGGTCCGGGTATAAGACAAGGTTCGAAATACCTTAACATTGTGAAGATGGGCAAAAAACAAAGTTATTATCATTATGAAACTGCCTTGCATTCACGATTTGAGTCAATACTGCCACTCAACTGACAACAATTGACAGTGTCCTCAACCCACCTGAATTTAACTATCAGAACTTCGGGAATCAATAAGGATAAAGGGGAGATAAGTGATGTATAGTTGTCTATTGACGTATTGATAAATCAGATTCCATGTACAGTTTGATATTAACCTGATTGGCTATTTACCACAATCTCACTGCTACTCTAAGATAAAATGTGAGCAGACGGATTCAGATATTGAGCAGACGCATTCAGCTATTGAATGTGGAATTATCTCTATGATTGATATTTTTAAGCGATTGTCGTCTGCTAGGTATGTTTTGTGATTTTTTTGTCGTGTATTGTGATTGAATGATTTCTATTTTGTTGCATGTGACTTAAAGCTGAACTCAGTTAATTTTGAGCATCAGATTGTTGACGTTTGACACAGACGGCAAATGAAAAACCAATAATGTTATGGTACTGTCCAATTGCGAATCCATTTAGAATAGAAGACTGCAATAAATTATTTACACTGTTAAAAAGTGAAGACAATGTTTACATGAATTTAAGACAAAGATGCTGACACCGAACGTAAATCGAAAAATTTTATAGCTAACTTAGTAAGCGAACATCTAGAAGACTATACTGTATCAGTTTTCAAATCAGATGACTGAACATCTCCTATAATGAAGAGTTAAGTATTCGTGAAATTGTTCTCAACATGCGTTCATGTGGATCAATATCTATAAATAATAACTATATCGCTGCTGTTTAATATTATTACATGTCGTTTATTCCTAGTCAAACAGCAAGATATGAATTATAACTAGGTTTTTCGGGCGTGGGATTTAAAGTGGTAGCGTTATTTCATTGGTTGAAGGGGTAGGAGGTGAGGGGGGTCTTCTTTCTTTTATGAACCTCATTTGCTGAAAACTTTGATTGTCTGTAAAAAAACACAAGTCAATATTATGGAATATAACACACTTCTTTAATAAGGTTAGGCCCATAACATCTCAACACAATATACACGTGTCATCATCATATGTAATGGCAAGAGAATAAAACATAACAAAATATATACCAACAAGAAACAATATAGAGGTTAAGAGGGACAATAGTTAATATAGATATAAATAAAATAGACAATTGATTGTCTGATTTTCAATTTTTTTCACCATTTCTTTCTGTTTCAACTCGGCTTTATAATATGATAAAGATGATTGTAAATTATTATACTATATTTCTTTAAATCTTGAGTTTGTCTCCATTGAAAGGTTTGTTGCATATTGTCATAATTTTGTGTCATATTGTTACAACTTATTTTAAAATTCAAACTTTGCTGTGTAAGTTTGGTACCAGCTGGTAGATAATTGAATCAGTCGACTGTAAAATTAAAAACTATAATTTTGACATGTTCACAACATGCTTGTGTTATAGTAACACCTGTAGGCTTATTGCTGTTGCGTCAAATTTATCCCCACTGCGCAGTTGTATGGCTTAATTAGACAAATAGGCAGCCCCATTGCCAGGAATGAATTGGTGCTGAGGCTTAGATTTTGCACTTTTCAGATGATTTTGTACAAAGAAGAAGGTTTTGCTGGGGCTTAATTCTCACTTGCTGTGGCCCAGCCACCACAGACCCCACCCTAACAACATGACTGAAAATGAGGAGTAGAAAAGAAGGGCGTAAAAGTCAATTAAAATATTTTGACAGTAGTTTCCAACAGCTTCCAAGAAGCATAACGAACTTAAATACCTTTGTAATGTTTATAAATATTTTTGGCGTTTAAGAAATAACGACTGGATTCCTTTAGTTAAAACTGTCAGATATGTTAAAGGCCACATTTCTATAGATTTTGGTATTTAGTGTGCACAAATTTGAGCAAAAATTTTTTTTCGACCTACATGAAAAGCAGAATGTCCCTTTAAAATTCTGATTCTGATTTGAGACCTATAGAGTAGATAAGATTTTTCTAAAACCTTCCACAGTAGAAATTTGAAAACAAGTTGTCTTGAACCTTATTGAGTAGAAGATGATATAGTTATAATGAAAGCTGATCAATGTCTGGCCTAGTCTTTCTAATCAGATTGTCTGGAGAGAGGTCATGATTCATAGTGAGTAATAGCACTCTTAAATAGAGTTATCTCTCTTTCCTGTTCTTCTTGGTCAAAGGAAAAGAGGCAACAGTCAAGCACTGGCCGAGTTCCTTCTTTTGCCGTCACAAGTTTTATTGGGAACTGAAACTCTTTGATTTAATGATCCATAAAATCATGATAACTAGTTCAGGTGCCTTTAATGGATAAATAATTGTTGATATATAGTTTGCTCCATTTCCTACTATACTGTGGTATTTTTATTAGATGCGCTAGTAATGTATAGTACAAGGAAGATATCATATTGCACAAGTATTGCTGTGGTATAATAGCTAAACTTGGTATCCTTGTCAGACAGTCCACCTAGTAAATTCCTTTTTTGGTGTACAACAATTTGGCCTCCCTTACCAAAGAGTTAACAGCTTATAATGTGTATTTGGTATTCACGTATAAAAAAGCTAGATAGTGTGTGTTCTTTTAAATGTGATCGTTACATGTACAAAGAAGACACCATATTGCACGTGTCTTGCTGTGGTATAATAACTTTTATCACTTAATAGCTCAATCATCTCTTTCAGAGAGTCCACAATGTTTTTTATTGAATATGCTAGTAATATGTACAAGGAACACACCATATTGTACGAGTCGTGGTGTGGTATTATAACTCAAACACGACACTGAACACAGTTAATAGATTTTTATACCCTGTTCTACAACTCATCAACTTCAGCTTTTAATCTAATTTCTTTCTCCTTCGCTCTTCTATAGTTCATCATTCTATTTTGATAATGTCTTTTATTGGTGATAGAGGTTGAAAACCAATACTGGGTTGACTCTCGAAACCACGGTTATTGGCATCCAAATATTTTTATTTTTACCTTGAAGGATTTTAACTCAGAGCACTAATCTGCCAAACTGTTGAAAATCCAACTTGTTACTTACCGAGCTATTCCTTTGTAGTTGATGAAATGAAATGAAGTGTTACATTGTCTCAAAATTGCACCCGGGTACTAAGGTTAGGCAACAGACTTCTAACTGTCAATGGATTTTTAATATGCAGAGCCTATTTTTGTTTGAGTCTTGGTTGATGACAGACACTCTTTTCAGGCCTGCAACCTACGGGGAAAAATTCAGAAGTACTAACTCAATTTATGCCCGAATTGATATTGTTTATGCAAATTATAGAGTAAAATGCTCTATTGTAGCATCAGAAAGTGTCAGAACACCTTGCCATGCAGGTTATAATGCCTCTATTCCATAAAGATCTGTTTTATTTTAAAACCTCAATAAATCTAGGAGAATAAAGTTAAATGTATTAAAATCGTGTTTATGTTAAAAACAAATGGTACTCGTGATGAAATCTGATTGAAAGAATGGTATGATATTAAAGTGATACCACGTCTTGGAATAAACATAAAATTTAAGTTCTGGAAAAGGTCAATATTAGTCTATATTCATCAGTCAACTTACCTGGTGTCATAAAGTTACAACAGAATCCCTGTAAAATCTGTAAAATCTGTAAAATCTAGAAAATTGGAAAATTCATAAAACTAAGTAATTATTGAAAAACAATTAATCTTAATATTAAGCGTTTTTCAATAGTTAATTGCATATTTATGGATAATTATTAAGTTTTTTGGATTTATCGGATTATATAAGGATCCTGTTATGTTATTTATGACATCAGGTATATCTACTGGCTCTTATTGGCCAAGATTAAAA